TCTATAATGGCAGACACTCTTAAAGTTAACTTCTGGATCCATTGTTCACAAGTATCCCTCAATACATTCAATGTTAAAGTATTTTGCTCCATTCTGTATTAGTAAGTCAAATGTAAGTGTTCTTCTTTAATTGTAATCTTTAGTTCCTAATGGTTCCCTCTAGTGTCCAATCTTCAAAGTCCCATCCTATCATGTGTGTGTGTGTGTGTGTGTTTTAAGAATTCAAAACAACAGCATTTTCCCACAGGAGGGATTCTTATAATTAATTTCAAAATCTTATTTCAAATCCATCTGGACCCTTAGTCCATATTTAACTTCTAATCACCCTTTTGCTGTTTATTCAAAAAAGTTTTTGTTTTTGTTTTAGTCCTAACCCTAACCCTTAAACTTGTATTTAAAACTTCTTTCGCTAAGGATTGAAGGAAACTCATCTAGTGCTATAAAAAACTTGTTGATCCAAAGGTTCCTAACAGCTGAAAAGCAGTTAAGAAGCAATTTTCCGAAAGTGATTAAGAAATGAGGCTCGGCGAACCTTATGTCCATATAAGCTGTATTTTGGCTGTGAGCTTGGTTGAAATCCCTCAACTCCCAGCCACTCAACTCATGAACTGACCACAAACATCTCAGTTCCTGCAGTCTACTCATGAGGAGCAGCTGTCCAGAGTACAAATGGGCAATCTCATGATCTCCTTTTTCTGGAGAGACTTTGCCAGCCAGAATTCACCATCTGGCTGCCAATCTCTGCTGCAATGCCATCTCCACTCCTTCAGGGATGTCTAGTTTGCCATGAATCTTCACTACAAAGTCATCCAGTGACTATGTATTTTACATGCAAAAGATCCAGCTGAATCTCTACCACCTCAAACAGAGCTAGGAAGACTCTTGTCTGAAACTTGGGGAGCTTTTGCTAGTCAATATATAGATAACATTGAGTTATAAATGATTTGAGAGAAAAGCAGTTTCCTATATTCTAGAATGAATAAAGACAGAAAGTTAGATATCTGATATTACATATTTAATGAAAAAGGAACTTCAATATGTAGAAATACAACATAAGATTTCAGTGCAGCACACTTGTACTTAAAATTGCTATAGTGGATTTCATTCATATAAATTAATAGCAAAGTGAACAAAATGAACAGAGTTAATTGGAGTTGGGCAGCTAATAAATTTAAATAAATAAACAAAAAATAATAATATAAACAAGAATGAATACATATTCATATCAGAAGGAAATAATAGCACAGATGTATTATTATTATTATTGTATTATATTGTAATACTGGATTGTATTAGATTGTAACTGATGGGAAAAAAAAGAATGCTTCTCCCATTTAAAAGAAAGGAAGACCATTATTACTAATCTATTGTTTTAAAAATTAATTCTATATTCCAATACAAAGAGAAGATTCACACACCCAAGAGGGCAACAAAACAAGAGTAAACTGAAATATTTACATTTTAGTGTTGCAGGATGATGTACAAGTATTGAGAAAAATTGCCATTCTTTGCTTTATTGAAACTGCTGGAAAACAGCGTTTACATAGTAGTGTTTGTTAATGGTTCTTAAAACTTTTGTAATCAGACGTATTTGGGGTGTATAGTAAAACCTAGTGCCCCAGTGATAGATTCAGCCAAGATTAAAATCAACATATGTATTAAATATTTAGGCATTAGGGATCCCAGTTGTAGCACAGCATTGTTGTATAAATGGACATAGTCACAGCTTTCTGTACTAATCTTGCCTGAACATCTGGACCTTGCATCTCACTAACACCATTGCATGTTTACCCTGTGAAACTCTTTATATCAAGGTGAAGAAAATCAAGTCACATCTTGATGTTAAAACTCTTTTTTGCACATGATTACGGTGTTCATTTCTATAAATGGCTGTACAATGGGGCTTTGAAATAGATAAGAAGGTTGATATGTTATTTTGCTAGAGAGATATCTAAAGTTTCTTATTCTAGTGGAGTTGAGCCACCAGCATATACTGTTGATTAATATAGAAATACTGAGTTTTTTATGTGTAGGTGTGCATATGCATATGTATATGCGTGTATACTGATGTGTCTGTGTAAAAATATATGTATTTATGTGTAGGCATATATGTGTGTGTGTGTGTGTGTGTGTGTTCCAAATACACAAGCCAACCATAGTTGTAAATGTCATATAATTTCTTTTGCACTAGATATAGCTAAGGGAAGATGATGAAAAAAAAGTTTTACTGTATAGCTTCACTCAGAAAGAATGAAAAACTGCACACTCCTTCAGTTTAAAATCCCATTGCTCTAGAACAGTTCTTCCAGTTCTAATGAGATAACTTCCCAGTAAATGAGGTGTAGATGGCAGACACAGTGCTTAATTTGGCAGTGCATTATGTGTCAGGTTCGGCCAGCACGGGGCTTCAGGGAAGCTCGCAGCCAGACCACGCGGAATCCGCCGGCGGTAGCTAGCGGGGAAAAGAGGAACTGA